ATGTGCCCTTAGGTGTTACTAACTGCGCATGCCTCAGTGCCACCCGCATCAGGGCAGGAGGCATCCCTCTGGAAGCAGGCAGAGCTGGCCCCTTCCTGCTGAAAGCTTGCTCTGACAGCCTCTTCTGTCAGATAGAGGCCAGCAGGAGGCTCATCAGAGCCCCAGGGAATTAGCCCAAGTTTGGAGGGTCTATTTTAATTAGCATGAGTAGATTCATCTAGCTGGAAACAACTGACAGATTGGACCAGTTTGTCATGATTAGAACCTGCGGATTCCCAAGGATCTTCTTTGTCCCAGTTAAGGGGTGATGGGCAACTTCTAGGAAGGCTGAGGGTAAGATAGGAGTGAGGACTTGATGGCATGGGTTCCTAAAAGAGAGACTCGTGGGAAGGAGACAAGAACAGAAGTAAAGGGGGCTGTTTTTTAAGGACGGGGCACTTCTTCCCTGAGATAGAGGCAATAAGGATGGGGTCATGTAGAGGGAAAAAGGAATTGCAGGAAATATCTGGGCCTCCACACTGATGTCTCCATGACTTGTCCTCGGTCCTCTCCCCTCAGGAGTTTATATTCTGATTGGTGCCGGTGCTCTCATGATGCTGGTGGGCTTCCTGGGCTGCTGTGGGGCTGTGCAAGAGTCCCAGTGCATGCTGGGATTGGTGAGTATCCCTTCTGGGTTCGCCACAGCCACTCCAACTCTGAGGCTCCCTGCCCCCAAGACCTCATAGACCAGATGGAGTAAAGAGGGTACCCCAAGGGCAAGAGCTATCCTCAGCCTCCCCAATGTCCCTGCGCTCCTGGCCCTGCCCCAGTCTTCTACCAGGAAGCTATCTTGTCCTCTTCCCCTGCAGTGATGCCTTCCTCCTCTTTCTCTCTGGAGCTTCTTTGTCTTATCTTAGGTGACTAAATGCCCGGACTTTGTTTTTCCTTTTTTCGAGGACCACGTTTGCTTTTTTCCCTGAATCCGCAGGTACCTTTGCCTTCTCTTGTTTCATAATTTGTTACATTTTTTCCTCAAACTCCAGAGTATATTCACTTTATTTCCTCAAATCTCTGTGGTGTTTGTGAGTAAGCGATGATGTTTTATCACTGACTGACTCCTAATTAACACCAGTTCTGGGGTCGGCTGTCCCCAGTTCTTTCCTCCTGAGAGGGAACCTTACCCCACTACAGCTTTCTCTCCTCACCTAGGCTTAACTCTCGCAGTCTGTAAACTTCTCCCCTTCCCCTTCCACGTTGTTCATTGGTGTCCCTAGAGGCCCGATCCCCAGAGACTTGTCCTTTTTCCCTGTTCTCCAGAATACGCTTTGATTTTTTATTTTTCTGGTTGGCTAGGATTGTCCCTCACCCCACCGTCTTTTTGCCTTCTAGTTCTTTGTCTTCCTCTTGGTGATATTTGCCCTTGAAATAGCTGCGGCCATCTGGGGATATTCCCACAAAGATGAGGTAGGTTTTTCCTGTAAGATCTCTTGGGACCTGCAGTGATATGGGATTGGGAGCTTGGGGATGGGGGGTAAGGAGGGTGGAAGGGTGTCCTGGCTGGTCACTTTGGTCAGCTTTCAACATGCCTCTTATTTTACCACATTCCCACATGACCCTCAGAACGGGAGCTCCCCCAGGGCAGGAAATGTGAGTGTTTATACTACCTTGTGTGGGTATTGTGCCAACAACTGAACAGTTGCTGTTGAACAGCGCTGGCACATAGTAGATGTTGAGGAAATAGTCATGGGCCTGTGTGTGTGTCTCACACCTCAGCACCCCTTCCCCCAGTGCCTCTGGAAAGACAGCTTAAGAAAAGATGGCTTTTTGTGGACTGGACACCCTTGCTCCTTCACCTAGTCTATAAATGTGTGCCACCATAGCCAAGTGCTACTCAGGGTCTGGAGATGCACAAGCGGTGGTCCCCACTTTAAGGATGCTGGCCACCTAATGTGGCAGAAAGACATACATTTGATAGGTGTCATAGAAGTCACTTATATCCAAAAGTCCCATGGGATTTGAAAAGGTGGAATGAAGAAGAGGAATCTCGCAGGCTTTATGGAGAAAGGGGCATTGACCTAAACCTTGAATGAGAGATAAGATTTCAGAAGGAAAGCTGGTGGGAGAGTATTTCCCGGCAAAGAAAGGGTCTGAGCACAGCTGAGCTTGGGCTCCTGTGACGAACCACCAAAGAGTTATGGGCCAGGATGGGCCACATCAGAACAATGTTTTAGGAAGGCTGTCTTGTCATGTTTAGCAGGAAAGGGGAAAGAAGAGAGACACTAGATGCAGGAACCCCGTTTTAAAAATAAAGGGGGGGGGGGACAATTTAATTATTCATATGATAGAAGCTGCAGCCGTGGAAATAGGAAGGGGTAATTATGAAAGATGCTGAAGAAGAAATGCTGGATGTTGATCAGTTCATTGATGTTGCGGGGGCAGAGGAACCAAGAGACATGGCATCCATTAAATTGGGATGTACCCAGTTACAGGAGGATGATAGTATATCTTTTGTATTATAATATAATACCTAACACTTATTCCAGATTTACTCTGGACCAAACACTGCTAAGGGCTTAACATGTAATGTCTTATTGAAATTCTCACAGAAACCTCTAAGGTAGGGACAAACGTAATTTCTGTTTTAAATTTGCAGAAAGGAATGTACAGAGAGGTTTGGTTAATTTGCCAAAAGTCTCTAAGAGAAGAAAAAAAGAAGATGGAAGCCTGAGGAACTAGCCAGATCAGGAGTCAGTTTTGGGGGTTTNAAGACCACCCAGTTTGTTTGCCATCACAGGAATTTTCTTCAAAGTGGGATTTGTCCCACAGGCAGACATGGTTCTTTACACCTGAGGGATGGGATACAGTCTCACACACACACACACACACACACACACACACACACGCTGTAACCTCATCAGCCAGTTGTTCTTTTCCTTCTTGTCACTTCCTCATCTTTCTGCAAACTTACTCCAAGGGTTTCCATCAATAGGGCCGCCTGTACATAAATACCTCCTCAGGTTCTAACTGGAACCAGTTTTGCAAACTTGGTGTGGGGTCCAGAGCAGCCAAGGTGCTTCTAGGAGGCGTTACTCTTTGGTTTTGTTTTCAATCCTCCTTTGGAACTGGAGACGTTTCCTTTAACTCCAGGTGTGTTTTAGTGTATGATTTCTGAGCCTGTCCCTGTAGCACGACTGTGGTATGACTCACTGAAATTCTGATCTTTGCGTGGGTGCCTTTAGTGCATTGTGCTTTCAGTGGTGAGAGAAGCGATGAGTAGGAAACTTTTCAACTGTGAGCCTGAGCTTGGGGCAGCGCTGGGTTTTCATGTCTCCTGAAGCTAGCATAAGCCCCAGGTGACAGGGTTACCTGTGTGCTCACCAAAAATCAGAGTGTCTAACTGGACTTTTTGGGGGATGTGAGGACAGCAGTGCGTGGAATTTTTATAAACTCTCATTTTCAAAAGGCTTTGTGTGGACTTGCCCCTAAATCTCATTGTGACATTCATCACATACCCTTGTGGGGCTTTCTCAGTATTTTCTCTGGGCAAGCAATTGTTCTTGGTAGTTTGCCACTTTTGTTGTGAGATATTAGAAGATGGATCTAGATGAAAAGCCAGATTGGAAACGAGGCTTGTCCAAGGGGAGAGAACCAGGAGAGGAAACTCTGATGGGCTTCAAAGATTCTTTCATTGAAGTAATCGTTCACTTATGGAATAATTATATGCTGATGACTGCTTTGTCCAAAATATGGATGGGGCAGGGGCACTAAGTAGCCCTGCCCTCAAGGAGTATAAGCTCTAGTGAGACACGAGACAAGCACATGCATGAGAAGAAGGGAGGGTGCGAGGATGCTGGCGAGAACAAATGTGAAGCTCTCAGGATTGCATTTCCATGGGAGGAGATCAAGGAAATCTTGGTGGGGAAGAAGCAGGCCTAGGTGGCCATGACAGCATTCCAGGAGGGGAGGGAATGTACAAGATTTATTGGGGAAACTTGGAGTAATTCCATCTGTGAAGCAGATGAGGGAGAGGCAGAGTTCAGTGCTATCATGCTGCTGCAAGATCAAAAAATATAAGACAGATCAAAAGTCTTAAAAACCGGGTCTGCCGAGTGGCACGTTGGTTAAGAGTTGGCTTGGGACGCCAGCTCTGAGCAGCAGGGCCTCTGTTCAGATCCCACATGAGGGCCAGTGACGCTGCGCCCTCTACAGCTAAGATGGTGAACAACAGCTCAGCCTGGAGCTTGGCTGCCATGAGCTACTGTGAGTGGCTGGCAGCCTGCGTGAGCCGCTGTGAGTGGCCGTCCAATGGCCAGTGAG